ACACACACACACAAAAAAGCTTTATTATTGCACAAGATCGGCAGAAGAAAATGAAATAGCAGCTCGATTGCACAGGGGCCGATGAGTGTTCAGAGCAGGAGGCACTGAAGGGAGACACCCATCACAGCGTAAAACCCCCAGTTTCCCCACTGATGGAGTTCAAGGAAGCTCATCTTTTTCTTGAAACACCATTGGAGAAAAAACAGGACACCCCTGCAAATTCAATAGATCGCCCTAAATCTTGGCAACACCTGTGAACCAATTAACTTGAGTGAGCCAGCAGGGCCGGTAAGGACCTCCTGTCCTTGTGCACAGACATCCGTGCAGCTTCTTATCCTACCTAGCTTCTCTGGCATGGATTTAGAAAGAGTCTGGGCTGTCTTATTGACTGACTTGCTGACCATGTACATCTGAAGTCTTATAGTCTGCTGACCTCTGGAAAGCACATTATGAATTAATATCATACTGTAAATGAATGCTAGCTTCAAGGCAGTGCATCACAGATCAATGTCACTACTGAAATCTGACCGCAATGCAGACGATATAGAAATATCACTTTGTCAGAATTATAACAGCAATTCAGAACTTGAAAGACTAATATCACTGCAGAACTACAACTACACTACATTACAGCCGATATCACTATACGATATAAAAAAGCAGGCAATACATTATAGAAATATCACCACTGAAAAGTACAGTGCCTTACAGACCAATAAAATAAAAGTACAATATCAGCTAATGTCATTGCTAAATATCAGCTGGAATCTTTTGATTTAGCCAGAATGGCAATCTAATAATTTGATAATTGATCATTTGATAATTGATCAATTCTTGCTTATGGCCAGACTGTGATCATCTGCCCATCCCACAGTGAGAGCATTCAAAGGGCAGTTCTCCCTCAGTCAGGCCCAGAGACTGCTTGCTGTAAAAGCCTATTACTGGGAGTCTAAACCCTACAAGCAACCAGCAAATTTACTCTACTAGTGTTCGGTTAATTGATATCAGATAAGCACCACAATCTAAACCAAAACAACCAGAACAGAGCCTTAATAGATCATAGTCAAACTTTTGGTTTAGAGCACTGTCCTCACTGTGCAACAAACCTACTTTAAAGTCCCTTAGTTTGAAAACACTACGAGCTACCCTCAGGCAGGGCTGTGTCTGTGTACTCTGTGCGCTGTAGAGTCCCAGCCTGGGAGGGACAGGAGAGGCTGCACAGCCAGCAGTCATATCGCCCTGCAGCTCCCAGCTGGCAGCCCCACTGGAGCTCAGCAGTGTGAGCCTGGCCAGTACCTGGATGGGAGACTCCTGGGAAAGCTGAGGCTGCTGCTGGAAGAGGTGTTAGTGGGACCAGTAGGGGGCACTCACCCTGCGGTCTGTGTGGGTCCTAATGCCCCAGTATAGTGACGAGGACACTGTACTGTAAACAGGCGCCGTCCTTCAGATGAAATGTAAAACTGAGGTCCTGACTCTCTGTGGTCATTAAAAATTCCAGGGCGTCTCTCGAAAAGAGTAGGGGTGTTACCCCAGCGTCCTGGCCAAATTTCCCCCTGGCCTTTACCAGTCATGGCCTCCTAATAACCCCCATCTCTGAACTGGCTTCATCACTCTGCTCTCCTCCCCACTGAGAGCTGGTGTGTGTGAGGGGACTGGAGCATCATCCAGGTGGGGCTGCACACTGGTGGGGGTGGAGGGGATCCCCATGACCTGTAAAGAGCTCTGAGTGGAGTGTCCAGAAAATGCCCTCCATAAGTGTTAAAAAGATTAATTATTATCATATCAATTCACTCCATATCCCAGCTATAAACAGTTGGTTTAAGGCATCAAACTTCAATCTCCTGCTGCAGACCCAGTATTTACAGGACAGGAGGAAACTGTCTGACAGAGGAGACCATCTCCAGCTTGACGTCTTCCCTGTTGTAGCAGGAGAGCCACACTGATCAGCAGCGATATCCCCGAGGGTCACCGTTGTGCAAGAAGCATCTACAGTAACCTCTCCGATGTGTAAGGATCTGTTTGTTTTGCATGCTAGGACTTGTAGCCCCGGGCTGCCTTCCGGGGCATTAACTAATGAGCCAGCCAGGCAATGGGCTCCATCAGGTGGTGCAGCAGGGTCTCCGGCAGGCAGGCAGCTCGACTCTGATCACCGTGCTCAGGAACCCCCCCCCACCGAGGGCTGGCCCGTTTCTCTGCACCTACCCCAGCACACCCCCAGCCATGCGGGCCGGAGAGCAACTGGTGGGGGTGGAGGGGATCCCCAGTACCTGTGAAGCGCTTTGAGTGGAGTGTCCAGAAAAGTGCTCTGTAAGTGTAAGGGGTTATTATCATTATAATTTGCGTCATGTCATTCTGGCAACTCCCTGGGTCCTGTGTGGAGACTGAAGCAGGGAATGTGTGTGCTGTTTCGGGGGGGGTGGGCGAGATGTTTCCTGGCGTATTTGAGCACACTCCAGCTCGTCTTCAGCGCGAAAGCGTGGAGGCCGAAACACGACAACGAGCGGTATCCGACCAGTCCAGGCCCAGCTGTGTGGGACAGTGGGACAAAGACAGTGTGTGTGTGTGTGGGAGGGGTGGAGAAGCACGGCGACAGAAATAAACTTTTATTCCGCAGATGAGCTCCTGGAAATCCGTGGAAACTGGAGAGTTCCAGCAAACTCCCGCACTCCAGAGCACCCCCTCCCCCCCCACACACACCCCTCTCTCCACCCTGTGCCCAAAATAGAACACAGCCCTCCTGGCCTGGGCAGCCCTGCAGCTCCACTAACCACAGGGGTGTCTCCCTGAGCTTCCAGCAGCAGCTGGCCCTTAATTGCAGGGCACAGAGAAAGGATCTGCCAGTCAAGAGCTATATATACGCGACCCACTCCTTTATTTGACTGGCATACACAGTCCCACCTCGAACCTGGATAATTATGTTTCCTCTCGCTCTCCAGTTATCCCGCTGGCTGATTCCAGGTTAGCGCTGTCCCTCACGGTGGGGTTTAGAAGCCTAATCTGTAATTACATCACAGCGGAGGCACATCTGCACCTCAAGCAGTGCCACACACTCTGCCCTGTGTGCACCCTCTTCATCACAGCCTGCCTTAGTTAGTTCGGAGATGAAGGACAGAGCTTGTCAGGGACACAGGCCATCACACAAGCTGGAAAAAAACAGAGCCTTTTTGCACGATAAACATTCCCAGAAAGCGAGAAAGAACTTCATCCAGAGCGCTCTGGAGGCAAGCGGGTTAAAGCTCTGTAGGCAGGGCACACCTCGCGTTAAATGAAAGCTCTGGCGCGGCAGGTTTGAAACGCAGGGCCTGTCACTCTGAAGCCTTGCCTCCGAGTTGCAGAGTTGGGGTGGGCGCAGTCTCTAGTTGGTGGTGAGTGATCGGTGCCTGGCAGACGGCCCAGGTGGCACTGCTGCACAGCCCCGCCTGCCTCTGGGACTGTGCGCCCTCTCATTGCCCATCTGGAAGCCATTGTGGGACCCCCCTCCCCCTCCCCCAAAACCCACGGCTGCCCAATCAAAGGACTCCCCCGGCGCCCCCTGTTTTTAACCTGTCCTAAATTTAAAGTCATCAGGAAACACATTTAGCTGGAGGGAGACAAGAGGAGGAACCCTCACATCTGGCCTGTGACTGCTCTGCAGCGACACCTAGTGGGTGGGAACAGGAACGGCAACAATTTTTTATTTTATTTTCCGTTTCTGGAGTTTCCCCTTTGTTTTTGGTCAATCTTTTTAAAGTCCTTTTTTTTTATTGTTGCTGTGTTGTCGGTCAAAATGTTGTGCGTGCTCGACGGCAGAAACTGCACAGAAATTGGGCAGAAAATGCCCCAAAAAGCACATGGAATCGAACACCCAAATTGGAACCACATGAAAGCCTCCAGCCCAGGTGAGGTTCAGCTCCGAGTCCACGTGCCCCTGTCACGCACCCCAGCACAGGACGGTGATAGGGTTTTGCTTTTTTATAATCACGTTATTTTTATTTCTTTTAAACCCGTGCCTCTCCTGGCCAAGTGTGAGTGAGAGAAAAAACATGTTTTTATCCTCTGTTTTTCCGTCTCACCTCCAAAAGCACGAGAAACAATTAAAGGTGCAAATGGAAAAGCTTCCTGAGAGGCAGGTGTTTTTGTTCCAGCTGAAACACATGGGCTGAGAAACACATGGGCACGCGCCTCATTTAGAGGCAAGGCGTGCAGCTGCCTGCTATTGAAAAGCGCTTTCATCGACTTGAATAGGAGGAAATTGAAAAAACACACACACACACACAAGATGTGTGGGTGTGTGTTCATGAGTGTGTGTGGGGAGTTGCATTACTTTCCAACTGTGCAGACACCTGCCCCTAACTTTACACGAAGACTTCAGAAAGAAAGCTGCAGTTTTCATAGCCATGAGGTGTTTACACCGTGACCGTTCAAGATGGCCGTCCTGAGTCTGGGGGCTCTCTGGGTTGTTTTTCAGAGCTGTTCTGTGGCTCCTTTCTTTCTGTACCCCACGGCACTTTGCCAGGCACGTGAGGTCCCCCAGTCCCCTTTTTCCCTCTGTCCCAAAATGGAGGGCACTGCCGCGTCCACACGAAGCAGGTGAGAGGTGTTTCAAGCCTGCAGGCAGATGACATCAGACCAGTACCATTCCGATGTGATGACATCAGACCAGTACCATTTTAGTGTGATAAAATCAGAGCAGTAACCATTCCAGCATGATGACATCAGACCAGAACCATTCCAATGTGATGACATTAGACCAATACTATTTTTGCGTGATGACATCAGACCAGAACCATTTCGATGTGATGACATCAGAGCAGTACCATTTTAGTGTGATCACATCAGAGCAGTAACCATTCTAGCATGAAGACATCAGACCAATACTATTTTAGCGTGATGACATCAGATCAGAACCATTCTGGTGTGATGACATCAGACCAGTACCCTTTTAGTGTGATGACATCAGACCGGAACCATTTTAGTGTCACTCCAAAGTCTCGCTGACATCAGAGCAGTAACCATTGCAGCGTGATGACATTCCAACATGACGACGTGAGACCATGCCTCAACAGCCTGTGCTGTACCGTACCGTACCCTGGAGCGAAACTTCAGAAACTGCGCCCTCTTCTTCCAAATCTGCGGAGCAACCATCAGAGAGTGAGAGGAGCAGACAGCACCCCCGGCCCGAGAGGCAGACAGCAGATCCCATGGCAGAGCAGTCCGAGCCACTTCGGCTTTTACCAGCTACC